ATTTATCGTTATATATGCATTGTCGAAGTCGAGTTAACTTATGCTTTTATACTAACTATATGGATTGAATTCTGATATTTATTTGTATAGCAATAAAGATGATAAGCTTTTTCACCGCAAAATTCACCACTACCCCAAATACCCTCTATACGATTTCTTATATTTTCTTTTTTATGGTTTTTATTACATAAAGGGCAGGGTACTGATCTATTAAATTCAAAGTAATCATTTCTAAAGCTATGATTCAGAGTTAAATAAGGAAATCGCTCTAATACCATATTAATAACGTGTTGTTGCTTTTCTTCCGGGTCTCTAGGTAGAACAGAAATTGGGAATTGTCATTTAGATGGTATAGATTGAACATTTACCCACGGTACGAATAAAGTCTTTTTCTCAACATCCTTTTCGATTTGTGGGAATTCAGAAGTTTCAGACTTTATCCAGGGATCGAGTCCAGTCTCTTCCGTATACGCCCTATATAAGCTCAAACGAATTTTATTTGTCAATTGACTCAGCGAATCAACCAATTTAGTATGCCAGTTCAAATATTCGGGGTTAAGGCTTTATCCATGTTATTGTTTTATATGATCGCAAATTCAAATTAAGTATGAATATACCAAGGATGCTTACGTATTGACACTCTGTGCATATCCCAAAATAGTAATTAAAAAAATATATAGTTAATTAATTGAAACCAGAGAATTTCGAAGGCAGTATGACTTTATTATTTATACTGTTATTTTGATTTCACGCTCTCCACACATAATAAAATAGGATCCAGCTTCATATCTACCTTTTACACTTTTCCCATCTTCATGATTTAATTTACATACTGGGTATAATGATCCCTCGATAATATCATAGTAATCGAATTTTTTAGTAATAAATGTTTTATATAGATCAGAATATCTGCACAATATCTTATTACGAAAGTAAGCATGGTCATGAGTTAGATCAGATGATGTGCCTACCTCGGTCTCCGGTAAAGATTTAACGTCTTCATTTATCGCATCCTCTGAATTGCCGAAGGCAGTCACAGAATGGCTAGAGGTATGAGATGGTTCAGTAGGTATACTTACCTCAGTTTCCGATAAAGATTTAAATTCCTCACTTGTCTTATCCGAATTAGAGATGGGAGACAATGGGATAAAGAGAGTGGTTATAGTACTCACCTCTGTTTCGGGCAAAGTTTTCTTGGTTTGATCGTTCCCCAAGGGAACGGTTTTTGAATTCACCTGATCTATAATATTCTGAATTTGTGCATTAGTCAATTTTGAAATCTCATTCGCACTATATGTAATTAGCTTAATTTTATCCATCCCAACTTCCTTTTCCCCGAATAACATAAGAAGTTTTCTAGCTCTAAGAGTTTTTTTGCGCAAATTATCTTGCGTAATATTAGGAAGAAAAGGTTTCATTTCTTTATAAATCATTGATCTTGCCGTCTTGTCTTTGATCTTGCCACCAGATGTAATGGCACGAACCTTGTTTTCAAATTCAAGAGAATAATAATACCAATTTAAGATTTCCTGTTGTCGAGATTTGATTGCTGTTTTAAATAAATAAGATAGATATTGAGCTGAACCTTTATTCTCCGATGTATTAATTTCAGTAGAGCTAGTATTATCTATTGCAGAATTGGGCCCAAAGGGCGATCCAAGGGTCGTGAGGCCTTGCTTCTCAGTAGATATACCCAATTCTTCTATTAAGCCCTGCTCTACAATTTGATTTTTATCAGTCCCATCGTCTTGCTCCAATTCAGATATTTCAGTTTGATCATTTCCCGAACTAATGGTTTTTGTTTCACATGATGAATTTGAAACTTGATCGTTCCCCGAGGGAACGGTTTTTATATCACGTGATGAATTGGATGGTTTTGACGAGTTATCCGAAGATAAGTTTTGATCCCGAAGTTTCTTTTCTTTAATATTCTGAATTATTTCTCTACTAACTCTTTCCTTATATACTGAATCATGGAAGATATCCATTTCCTTGTCTTCCAATGATTTACTCTCTGTGCGGATAGGTGATGCGGGATATTGGGATGAAAGCTCCTGACGTACATCAGAATTTGAAGTGTTATCAGATATATTAGTTGCAAGAGTATCATCGCAATGTAAGTTTGTCTGTTCAGGAGCATCGTTAGAATTTTCCGTTTCAATAGAGGTGATATTAACTGGAGGTTGGTGATCGTTTAAGACCGCCCCTTTGGGCCTGATTTCTCTGGTATCATCATCCGATTTAGATGCGGGAGCATCAGCGGAGCTGGCACGGCCATTACTTCGTAATATAATATGGTTGCTCTTTTCTTCGTCGGTTTGTAACTGTTTCTGCTCCAATTTCGCAACCCTAGCTTTAAGTTCAGCGTTTTCCGAAGCGGTATCTTTATCGTTCTGCTCCAGTTTTATAAATCTGGATTCATGTTCTTCCAAGGCTTGTTTTAATTTTACGTTCTCAGCTTTAAGTTCGATGTTCTCAGACTTGATCTCGGTGTTTTCCCGTCTAAGTATATCATTCTCAGCTACAAGCTTGGAAATTCGTTCTTCTAATGAATCGACTTTGGATTGTTTGTTTGCCATTTTTTATATAATATAAAATACGGATATATTCAATTCTTTATTGTGTTAATGTAAATCATCTGATGAAATTTCAGCGAACTATTTTGATGAAAAGTTCGCCAAAAAAATACCAAGAAAAATTCCCGATCATATACGTCGATATCAATACAACATATTAAATCCCGAAATACACGGCCAGCTTTATTGATGCAGTAAAAATATCATACAAGTGAAAAATTCTCGATCAAATATGTGGGTTAGTATACATACAACGTAATGCATGAAATGCACTATCTTCGAAAGATAAATTCCACGAAATATACATGTAAAAATGAACACGATTAATTATACGAAATCAGCCACCAGGGCCAGCTTTATTGATTATAAAAATACACAATACATTGTAAAAATATAAAAAATGGATTAAGCAGTTTCTTGTTCCGGACAATGTAGGGTACAATTCAAACATTGCTTTTTTCTTGGTGGTCCTTCCTATATGGTAAATAAAGCAAGGTTAATATTTTACCTAATTTGTTTATACTGTATGTAGTAGAGTATACCTCTTCATCGGAGGAACCCGTATTACATGATCGTGGAGGAGGTGACAGTGATGGTATTAGTCGCGGAGAAGATGGCATTGATAGTTGTGGTGACGGTGGTGATAATGGTGGTAGGGATGGTCGTGGTGATGGTCGTGGTTGTGATAATGGTTTATTTTTTTTTCGATATTTTTTGGTTACACGACCACAATAATAGCTAGGGGGGTTGGGTCTTCTTGTGCGAAGATTATATGTTGGAGGCGGTGGTGATGTTGTCGTTGTTGTTGTTGCTACTGCCGGTGATGAAGATATTGTATTATTATCATTGTTGCTATTATTGTTATTGTTATTATTATCGTTGTTATCATTATCATCGTCAAACGTTAGAATATTATCGTCATCATCAAATATTGGAATATCATAATCATCACCATCATGCACAGGACCTTCATTAACCGAATCTTCACCCATTTCCCGGTTACTTGAATTTTGCATTTTTGCTTTTTCTTGTATTTCGGATAGTTTGTGCCGAAGACGCGATAGTTCACCCTGAATGCGAGCTTCTTCTGCTTCACGGACCAAGATATCTTCTTTCTAATTTCAGAAGAATAATTAAGAATAGCGGAGCTAGTGTCAAGACACATAATATTAAGGCTTATATATGAATGCAAAATAAGTGGTTTTACTTACTACTTTAACCTCTTCAATTACATTGATCCAATAATCTTCAATGTTATTACGTTTTCGTTCTAAAGCGACCTATTGTAAGAAAAGCATTCATCAATGTTAACAGTGTGCAATTTTCTATTTAGTGTGTAATTTTCTATTTAGTGGTAAGGACATGCCAAAAATCAAATGGTTTAGGGCGAACCCTATAGTATAGAGAAATCAGATGATAAACGGCATGCCCCAAAAGGAAGACACATAACCGATTCCTCCTCCGGAATCCGCAGACCTTTACCAACGACAAAGTTAGGGCGCCTGAATAGAGAACTTGGAGTGGATACCAAGCAGTCATACCCAGTAGTTCTCCTGAGTCAGATCAGCAATCTACTAGGAGTTACCCTAACTTTGTAAAGTAAAAAATACACACCTGATTTTTCAAGTTATTAAAGTCATTGGGATTTAACAACTCTTTTGCTTCTGCTAAAAAGTGATTGCACCAAGACGTATCAAGGTCCTGTCTGCGGGAGGTAGTCGAAGCAGTGGTAACGATCGCGTCTCGACAACAAAGCAAAAAACCCCAGAAGGATTTATTTTCATATTGGCTCAAATACGAAGTAAGTTCTTTATGACCAGGATATTTTTCGGAAGACATGTTAATATAAAAAAATATAAGATTAAGGTGTAAGAAAAAGTATAAGAATCGTAAAAAAAACGCGAACCCCTAACCACGTAATTCCCCCTTAAATAACGCGTATACTGCCTCAGGAGGCTACAAAGAATGAGCCATGTGTTAATTTATCGAATTTGGTTATCTTTCACTTCACCGGTGTGTTACACATGCCTATAGTTTTCGAATTTCTTCCGTGATACATGTTTATCACATAATCAGCTTATGCACGCAAATTTCCATTACGTTCTATGGCATATATTTAATTATTTTAGCGAAGATGACAAGTTACACAAGTTATTATAAACTATAGAGGTAGAATTTCATTGTAATAAATACATTACATAAAAATTATGTGTTAATATCGTAGTTAAAAATAGTTCGTTATCGACATCTGCTCATGTTAAAATTCTCACAACTATTTACCAGTACAATTTACTGTGGAACAGGGCACTTACGTGCTTGAACCAGTTTTGGTACTTATATCTGAGAATCAAGCATATGTCTGAAATGGATTTTTATTTATGTGGCAATCACAATTAGGGCATTTGTTGATTTCATATGCCTGTCAATTGTCATGAGTAATCGTTGCAACAATATCTACATGATCAATTATATATAAATACAGAGACAGTAGCTCTGCCAATATCCGAACTCAAGATACTTTACTTTTCTATACTTCACCACATCACAAAAATACTATGCACCCATATGATATGCGTGACAAATTGACACAGATATGTAATCAAACCTAACCCAGATAACATTTTCAACATATAACTTCTGAAACTCTTCACAGCTCTAAAGAGATATGTCTCGTATTTCTCAGTATAAGATCAGGAGTTATATAATCTGACTCTTTAGAGATACTTCTTTGAAGCATATCGGCAAATAGAAAATAATTTTGAATCGGATCCTGCCTTCTCATGACTTTATCACTCGAAGCCAGACAATTGTAGTTAACACCCTCTCTAGTATTGTGGAACAATGTAGCTCTGCTTCTCAGAAAAAAAAAGTAGTTAACCTATTTAAGATCTGGCTTTAAGCATGTATTGCGAAAAGGCGGGATGAAGAGCTAGAAAGATTAACAATGTTCTCAACAGTAGATAGTCTTGACCGTATCAGCTATGCTAATTCTATACCCTTGTATATTGAAACAACTTTTTTATCTTTTAAGCGTAAACCTAAATTAACAAAAAAATGAATCCAGATATAATCATATATATTGAACCAAATCTGATAGGTCAAAATATCTCTAAATATATTTAAATCTCATATAATCGTTAAATATATCCAGAGCAGATCACAATATAAATAGAAGACTCGCAATAACTAGTGGGCATAATGTACTTAATAGAGTTATCGATGCTGAGAGGCCTTATGATTCCATTAGTATGATCTTTGAAGGGGAAATACCTATTCAGTAGGCCTGTCGTGTTAGGATCGCTCTTCAAGATTTAATAGGTCCAGGAGGAACAAGATCTTTGTATCACGAGCTATGTCTCTACGCCTCATATATTCAAGGAGCAAATTTTGATAAATATAATTATAGCAGAGGTAGACTATATGAAGATAGTACTGCAATATGTTTTTGTTGTATGAAATTTATGCATATCAATGTTAACTTAGGTCCAAATGCAAGTCAATTCGATTTAATGAAAGATCATTATGATTATGAATGCTCAAGATTATACATGTTCCCAAAATTGATTTTGGATTTTTGAGGTATTTCGACTTTTTGAGATTTATGCAAAATCTATTCTATATATGGAAGTAAAAAAATTACCTAATTATATGTATCTTTAATCAAAGAATAAATCTGGGTAGTTAAAAAATTTCAGGTTTTAAGTAAAATAATTTCGTCTTCTATGAAAAACTATTTCGACTTTTTTCTTCGAAATTGTAATTTCGGGGTTTCAAAATAATTTTGTGTGCAAGTATATTCAAGACCACAATCTGTTTATGATTCCTCAAGACCATGAACTGAGTTTGGGTGTGCAAGGGTTATATAAAGACTTTGGAGAAATTTTAGAGAAAGGGAACTGTCAGATGCATGACTCACCTGGAACAGTTTATCAAATAATAATACTTCAGATGATAAGAAATTTCTAGGTTTGATTCGATGTAAAGTAAAAAATTCTCAGACTCAAGAACAATTTAATCAATGGCGTACTAAATGGATCGAACTTTATAAACAATGTAATTCTAATGTTCCTCTTGATATTTATGTTAGAAAATATGAAGAATATTATATTCTGTATAGTTGAACAGGTTATAAGAAAGACCAATTGCAAGTTAGATTCCGAAAGCGACTTTTAGAGCTTGAAGCATAATATATATTTTTTTGATTAATTTATTTATTTATTAGCCAAAGGCTTGTTCACATTAATGTATAACTTATTCATGTATATCTATTTTTTCTCAATGTATATTTCATAATTTTCATAAAAGATTTCAATTTTTTCTGCATCATAAAATACGATATTAATTTCTCGATACTATATATCAGTTACAAAGCAGTGACTTAAAGAGTCATGAAATTTAATAAAGCAATATTAGGTTTGATCAATAAATTACCACCATCCTTAGTTAATGAAGCTTGGACTCGTTTAATATTTCGGAAGAGAAATTCAATAACAAAGGATGAAGCTAGTGCAGTGAACCCATTAGTCAAATTATTTTTAAGACATAAAGTTAATAGATATCAGAAAAAATTAAAATATCAACGCAAAAGCTGGCCTATAGTGAAAAATTCTTTATATAATAGCGGAGCTAGTGTCAAGACACATACAGGTATGCCCGATCAGGAAACTCAAACCCAAGATACTGATCCAATTTGTGATCAGACACATAAGTGTCCTTGCTCAACATGTGCGGAAGAGATCAATTCTCGAGTTAAAAAAGAGTTAGATAGTTTATCTCTACAATTGCTTGAATTCAATAAAAAAACTTTTGACCCTTTTATGCAAGAAATCACTAAACAACTTGAAGAGCGAATTAATGCTAATAATAAATTGCGCAGTGAAATCGATCAACAAAAATTAAAATTGCAAAAAGCGGAAAAATTACTTGCAAGTCTGAAGTCCCATTAATAAGTATAGTCATAATCTCTCGATGCTTGCAGGGTATTACGACATTTCTCACAGACCATCTAAAAATATTCAAGATTCAAAGACGCTGATTGATTATAGTTCTTTCTCCCATGAGTAGTAATCTGATAATTTGGATATTGTTTTATCAAATCTCCTATACTTACATTCTCGTTCTTTGCCACATAGGCTTTATGAATACCATCTACCATAACTTTTATCGCATTCTTATCATACGTATTCGAAGGTTCCAGTTCAAGAGTGATGGTATCTGATTTTTTAAATTTATGGTCACTGCGAAATCTCATCCCTACTACTATAAAGGAATGTGTAACAATGCAATCTATATACAATGACAACGATATTTCCTTACATCTACAACAAATATTACCAGAGGCAGTTACTTCGTGACTAGACATGATTAAAAACTATTATATTTTCTGTATACGAATAATATCCAAGTTCAAATAGATAATATCTGTTATCTGATCCATGTATCTCTCAACCACTCACTTTTTTTACCTATACCCCATGTACGTCTCAATATAACAAATCACATAACCGCAATAATTAACAAGGTAAGAAAAATATATACCGATAGAGGTGACACCAAACTACTTGCCACAATGGGAATTGCATCTACCCCTCCTATCGGAATCTGAGAATTTGATTCAACCAAAGAGGGAGTATTATTTTTCCGTTGTGCAAGATATGGAGTCATACTCTTGGGTATACTTAATGGCACATCAGAACTTATATGTATATCATCTAGGGATATATCGATCTTTGGTGTGAGCCAGCTATCAGCTGAAAACTCGGGTGTAGAGCTAACTGCTTCTTTAGATGCGATGGTATTCTTACTCTGTGCATCAGTATAAACTGGTACAATATATACTTTAGCACTAATTCCGTTATTATCAATTTTTTCACTCTCATCCATATTTTTTCTGCGTACTATAAATGGCCTAAGATCTTTGATAGGTTCACTAATTACAGAGATATTAGATACGAAAGCATCCTCACTCTGTGAGTCAGGCATAATTACATTTTTTTGTCAGTTCCACCAATTATTGCAGAGCAAGCCGTTAGGCGATTCTTCGAATCATGACCCAAAGGGTCTACAGATCGGAATATATCTTCTGATTTCAGGTAATCGAGTTCGCTTCTCACACACTCCAATTCAACTTCTATTTGTTTAAATTTACTTATTTTAGATTTAAGGGATAGATTCTCAGTTTTCGTTTTTGATAAGTTTTCCTGAATCGAGAATGCATCCTTCTGAGCTGATGCTAACTTACTATTTAATATCTTGATATTGACTGGAGTGATTTTATTTTTTTCAAATGAATGATATCCTTGGCTTCATATTCAGCATTGGAAATCTATAATTGGTTATTATGAAATGTTAAAGTATCTATCTCTGAGTTCAATCACTTAATCTCATCTATGAGTTGATAAGCATACTTGATAAGTTCTTCTTTATCTTTACTGGTTTGATTTAGATCATGTTGCAAATGCGCTTTATCCTGTTTGCTATTTTTAATAAACTTTTTATGCATCTTCTGATAGTTTTTAAAATCATCAATAAGTTCAGAATTGGATTTACAACTATCACGTAAAGCTTCTTCAAGCTCTATCTCCCTAGTACTTCCAAGACGATATGCTTTTGAGTTAATATCTCGCAATGTGTGCATGTTAACTATATATGTATAAGAAAAATATAATAAAATTCATAATAATTGTGTATAAATAATCTAAAACTAATATATCCAATGAAATACCTATTTTGGAGAAATAACACTCTCTGCTCATATCAATTTTACTATTGTATCAACACATGTATCAATAAGAATCAATAGGTATCAATAGGTATTAATTATCAGATATCATTAGGTA